ATGAAGAAAGAACCTCCAGCAGGACAGAGCTACAAACTACACGCCTGGAGACACTGTTTAAATATTAGAAGGTTTAACTTTTTTATTCATGTTGCAATGTCTATTTCCAATGTCTATTATAACTACTTTATTTTTATTTATTTATTTTTATAATTATTTACTTGTTTGTATTCTATAGTGTTATGAATGCTTTGGCAATGTAAAGATTTATTTCACCATGCCAATAAAGCTATTTGAATGATAGATAGATAGATAGATCTACCTGCGTATCTTTAAAAGACATTAATGGTCATTATAACATAGTTTAAATGACTTGTATAATAAAGTGACATCTGATTTGTAACCAGGCATTAAAGCGAAACCAAAGCCAGGCACCAAAGCGATTACCCATAATATTTTTGGGATATTACCCATACCCAATATCGGATTGCTTGGGTCCCTTCGCTGGCACTTTGGCCTTCAAAAATGCTCTTCATAAACCTACGGGTGACATCATGGACAAAATGTCCATATTTTTTTATAGTCTATGACTATAACTAGTGATGACAAATCGATTAATTAATCGCAATTGATTGTATCTAAAATAAATGTTTGTGTGTATGTATATAAAGTATATAAATATACATCGCGATTAATCGATTTGATTGCACTAATTATATCCACTGATGTCTCAAATTAAACAGTCATTCAACACTTCAAGCACAAATTTGCATAGTATAATAGCGTTACAACGTGATTTAGGGAAACAAAGCACGTTTTTCATCTTTCTGGGGGTTTGTTTTGTGGAAGAAGTTTTGTGGGAGCTTGCTCTGCTGTTTTGCAGTCCATTTGCAGCTTCCAGTGAAGCATGCTGGTTTGACTGTTGTCAAAATTCTTCCTCCTGTGGTGACAAGTTGAGACGTTATATTGACAAATCACACAGACTGGGCCAGTAAACGCACTGTCACAGCTGACAACAGACAGTGCAGAGCAAAAAAGATTCATTCCAGAGCTCCAGCCACCAAACTTAACTTCTTTAGACTTCTTCTAAGACTCTTTAGAGCGGATGGCAATTATTATACATGGTACAGTCACTACAAAGAACAAGAAAACCAACACACTAGAGGAAATTGCACTGATTGTGTGTACATAGTATGTCCTACAGACTAAAAGGGCTCCATTTACTCTCTTTCAGAAATGCATGTGGTACAGTAGATGTAAAATATGGTGAGTAAACAGAAACATAAGGTCCTGATACATCAGGGATGGATGTAGCAGCCGAGGAGTTAAGATCAAAGTAGCTCGGATACGAATGTCTGCCAGTGGATTCAAGTATGTGACTACCTCCTTCTCTACACAGCTCGCATACTGATGAATTCCACACTCAGCCACTCCCTTTAATGGACACGCAAAGATCCCCTGCATGTGAGAACCAGAGGGGAGAACAGATATATATATATAATACAGAGAGTATATTAGCAAAAATTATTCTTTATCGTCTCTATGGTCATGTTTGGAATGTTTTTACTGTATACTGCATTAAATATGCTTTTTTTAATAATGTGAAATATTTATGCTAAACTGTTGTCATATGACCTCATGATATCACGTTTTATTCAGTGAGTGGAATGTCGTTTTTATATTGAAAATCAAAACAATTATTTAGCAATTTTCCATCTTATTGTTCATTAAAAAAACAACAAAAGAAAAAAAAAGAAAAGAGAGAGAAATAAAAGTATTTCCAAAAACAAACACATAAAAAGCAAATTATTATTATTCTTGTTAACTTGGTCAATTTGGCCAATCAGTCCAATTTAACAATTTAATAAATAAATTTAATCCATTCAAATATTTTTAAAAAGCCGAAAAATAAAAAAGAGATAATCCAACACACGCACACAGAAATAGAAGGTCAAAAAAGCCAAGTACATGCTGCATTGCATTGTGTACAGCTGATATTATTCCACACATAAACAACAATTAACTTGCAAGTACATTGCACTGTGGAATACAGCATCACATGCAAGGTTATTTCACATCCTGAAATGTTGCATACTACAAACAATACACATACTGCATAAATTGCAAGTATATTCTGAGTACGTATTAAGACAGTATGCAAATCCAACCAATGGAATGACACAACAAGTAACTTAGCAGCTGCTGTTAGATATGTCTGCCTAGAGTACAATCACCTGAAAGCCTTTTTCCGACAGCAAACACTACTATCGATCTCATGGTCTCTGAGTAGAGTCCTTTATTACTAATATGAGGCTTTGGCAATTAGGAACCTGCTCGTTGAAGTTCAGAGGCTGTAATTTGCATGCTAATACATATAATAGCAGAACCTAGAATCTTCTTTTACTGTGTCTAAAATCAACATTGGCCTTCAAATGTAATTACAATCTTGGTTCAGAATGTTTTTTTTTTTTTTTTTGTTAGCTGGTAATGAAGTATATAAGAGCAGCAAAACAATACTATTTGAAGTTAGGTTGTTAGAAACGATTAGTATGATAGTCTGAACTTGTGTCTCTGCAATTGCATTTGGGTATCTAATCAATAGCCATTTCCTTATTGCTTCAGAGCCATGTCAATTTTCAACCTCTCATTGGAATTTTTGCAAAACTCCAAAACTGTTTCAGTTGAAATGAGCTGCTTGATAGCTACAACATTGCACTTGCAATAAGAATCCCGATTCCAGTGAAAAAGAGTCACGATTAAAGAGCTCAATGCATGGTTTGGCATGGTTGCTTCAGCAAATGCGTTTTTCTCACATTTGCATTTGTTAAAGGGGTCATGAACTGGCATTTTAAATTTTATTTATTGTTGTCTGAGGTCAACTTATGACGTTCGCTGGGTTTTTGCATTCAAAAACATCAAAACGAATAAGTAATAGGCTATTTTGTACCCAAGTTTTGAGCCTAGCTGAAAAACGCTCGGTTTTAATGGGCGTCTCGCACTGAAGACTTGGAAGTAAACACCCACAGCTGTGAGTGGATAACAGCTTTGCATATTATAATGAGTTTCAACTCACCCATAGATGCACTTGGAGGAAATTGTTTTGAAAACGTCCAATGTTGTAAAATGGCAACCGGAATGATTCGACCCAGAGTCCGTGTGTTGCACAGTTCCTGTCAGATCCAATATAGACGGCACAACACCGTTCTTTACTCATAATCGGTCTGCAAATCCAGTCTTGTTTACAAAACAATCCTCGGTGAAATGAAGCGAACAGACGGACCATGTTTTACCTCATTAGCTGGAGTGAAACATCATCAAAAATAAAGTTTATCCATGCAGTCCTATCTTCTTCCAAAACCAGGCGCTGCACAATATTTTGTATTGCTCGGTAGCTCGATCCGGATTGTCATCACGAGGTAGGAATCTATGTTCTTTAGCTATGCGTGTAATGCGCGAATCAGTGGGCGAGGCTAAACCAACCATGTTGAAGTAGGCGTTGATCCTCTCCTGCGGGGGGTGGTGTTTTATCCTCTTTGACGTCATAGTTCCCCACTTTGAAAAACGAGTCGTTTGCTGAGGCTGGTGTCAATAAAAGCTTTTATTGGACTAACAAGGTCCTTTTCAGTTCTGAAACTTATTGTATTCTTATAATATGATGACCTCTTAGATGTCAAGGATTTCTCAGTTTATCACCCCTTTAACATTAAACCCTAAGCATAAACGATAGTGTACTGTAGCTAGTAAATACATACGAACAACAACCCACACATAATTAAACATTGAGAGTGTTTTGGCATCGCAGTGGGGTTTTTATCAGTTGAGAAGCTTTGCTTGCTATGATACGTGACACTTTAATGTTCTTTCATTTCATCCTTTTATCACTGCCTTCCCTGCATGGCTCAAACAAAGTCTGATCTCATGAAACCAGGATTGAGAGATCTCCAAACGTTCCACCCAACTGCTTGAGCCCAAGATCCCACGGGATGACCGATATTATTTGTAGTTGCACAGCCTGACTTGTTATCCCGGTCCGTGGTCAACGGCAGTTAACGTACAGGGACGTCTCAAGCCCTCGCGGTAATCACTAATGTTTATCAGAACCTGTCATCACCAAAGCTAATTAAAAATCATCAAACAAGGCTAAACAACACAGCTAATTAACAGGACATGGAATAACAATCCTCCACGGACACCAGGCTAGCATGAATTTTCATACAAACTAGCAGAGGCTTATAATCATGAGAGATCTCTGGACGTCCTATTGGCTATGCTGGTGTGCTAGCACAAAAGAAAGACTACAATCTTTTCTAAACTAACTTTATTGTGGAAAACTTTTCTAGCATGCAGCAATGTGTTATTGGAACGATTTAAAAGTACTAAACATATATCTTCTGCCTGCATTTACGTTTGTGCAGCACAGAAAATGGAGGATTAAACACTGAGGATTAAAAAAAATGACACTGAATGGCCATGCCATACATGAAATTATATTAAGCATTATTTTTATTATAAATGTATTTAAACTCATTTTATATTTTTATTTTATATTTATTCATTAGTACAGTTCAGTCAGAACTGTCATTCACGGAGAGTGGACAGAAACTGAAAGATGTGTTTTTTAAAAAGAAAAAAAAGTCATCATTCAAATTTTATACTTCAAGCCCGTCCATCCAAACTAGCGCGGTAAAACCCTGCACCGATACGACATGTCACACAATCAGCAACACGGCATCCTACTGCTCCGCAGCGGGTGGAATCTATGCGCTTCTTCATTTTCCATCTGAGTGCACCATCAGACACAGGAGGTCCGCTTCCACAGAGGCCACAAAGCAGGAGCGTTACAGCACTACTGTGGCTCAGTCATGGCAGACACATCTATTAAACGAACATGGATTCGTATTTTTGAGCAATAAGTCGTACAGCACTGTGATGGGAGCATGACAACTTGCATTACCTGACACCAAGCCACAAATATGTGTGGAGAATAAGACAGTTAGTCCATCCAGCAGCTCTGAGATACTAGCATCTTAAGAAAGTAAATATTAAACCCTTCCATTTACCCAAGCGATGCAGACTTCCATTTGCGACAGGGGTAACTTCTTCGACACAGCGGCACAATAAAGTTGCCAGGGTATGTGACATCGAGGGGCAAAGAAGCGTGCCGTCTTCAAAAGGAAAAGAAAGAGAGAGACATGTTCAGCTTACAAGAGGTTCTTGATGTTCGGTCATGCTGCAAACAGATCACAGTCAACAAGAAACAGATCACAGGCGAGCCGTGATACGGTCTGGAATGTACGAAAAATGAAATGTACTGAATTGGAATGATGGAAACACGCTGTGCACATGCACAATCAAACCAATTATGGTTAATGAGATGCATCCAAAAATGAACAGTCATCGTTTACTCACTCGCATGTCATTCCAAAACAATATGGATATATTCCAAAATTGTTTCTTCTGTAAAACAGGAGAAATTTTGAAAAACATATAGGTACTCTTTTCTATGCACTTACAATGAACAGAACTTAAAAATTATACAGTAATTATCATAAAATAGGTGCTATAGCTAGATAGCTTCTAAGTTGTACAATAACAACATGGACTCAACAATAGGGGTTTTCGCACCGAAGCAACTTAAGGCCCGTACACACCGGGACGAATATCAGCGTTTTTCAACGCGTTTTTTTGTGTTCACACCCAAGCGATTTTCGCTGACGATGAGCCGAGTGAACATGCAAATTCATTCCCTGACATTAGATGGCACCCATTTGCCATGCAATACCACTCCATAACAGTTATCTTTTATCAAGATGTGTGTAGTCCCTGTCGCGTTTGTTATAGTTCTTTATGTTCTAGCACCAACGAAAACAGCAGCTCTACATTCATCTTGCCTTGCATCTTCCTCGTCTTATTTCTTCCTGGCTGTGTAGACGGTGACGCGTATATCTTCTTCACCGTTGCATATGTGTGCTCGGCAAGACCGTTTTGTGTTTGAGTGCCCCCAAGTTGTGTTTTACTGTCTCTTCAGAAGCTCTAAACACGTGAGCAAAAGCGCCAATCTCATTGGTCGGATAGTTTTTGACGCGGCACGTCAAACTACAAAAACCAACCCGAGGTGTTTTTTTTTAAATGACGCTTTTACTCGTGGCGTTTTATGCATCGGTGTGAACACTCACATTGGCGCCCTTTGTTTAGTCACAAGGCGTTAAACGTCGGCGAATAACGTGTGCTAAATTTGTCCCGGTGTGAACAGGCCTTTATTCATAGTTCTTTTAATTAATACTCGGTTTTTGGTGGGTTCGTTCCGCAGGAACTAGGAATGATTTTGGTTCTAGGAAATCCTTTTAGGGGAACTAAATTAGCTCCTACTTCAGAAAAGGGTCAAACCCAACACAATAGGAACTACCTGTGATGTATGTGTACATTGATTGGCCGAACGCATGCGAAACGCCAGCACCCGCCGTTTAAAAAAAAAGCCATGTATGCAGATTACAAGTTACCTATATATTTACTCCCAAAACTAACTCTATGAACATGGAAACAGTGATACATTGACCTCTTAACCTGCCAAGGAGAAAATCCAATGCAACTTTGAAGGGATCAAGCAAAACATGATTATGTATTTCTGCTCAACTAGCGAGATTGGACCAACCACATGGCAAACGCTAAAACTTTATCATACGATGTACTTTCTTTGTATGATAGTTTTATCTGATAACGTTTTATCAGGAAATCCGTTCGGTTTCATCACTGCTCAATATTAAAAAAATACAACTTGCTAAGCTGGGATAACTTAATTAAATATGTACATATCTGTTTACTGTTTAAGACTATACATAGCCTGTCTTCACCATTAAAACAGTTTGTGAACATTAGAACAACTGCTCACAGATCTACAAGGGGAGGGGAAAGAGGGGACTGTATTATCCCTCTCAAAAGAAGTACCTTTAGCCAGTCTGTGTTTTCGGTCAGAGCTGCAAGGGAATGGAACTCCGTCCCATCAACAATTAGACAATTGCATGCTTTTGGTTCTTTTCAGTCTCATCTTAAAAAATGGTTATTGACAAATCAGCACTGTCAACATTAGTATTGTATTCTTGATAATAGACTTATTTGTACCAATTGCTCTTGGCTTTGTCCCTCTCTTGTGTAGCAATCTTTCTCTTTCTCATGTGTTTTTTTTTTCTTTTTTTTTTCTCTTTTTTTTTTTAGATACTATATGTTTATTTTATTTTATCTTGTTTTTTTTTTTTTTTTTTTTTGTATATGTGTGATGCTCTGTCTCTGTTTTTTAGGGTGACTGTGTAACATTCTGTCAAGGGTCTACGGATGAAAAATAGCCTCTTGGGCTAATTCTGGCACGTTTACACTTGTTTATTAATGTGCATTGACCCTGTAAATAATAATAAAAAAAAAAAAAAACAAAAAAAAAACGTATTAGACAGGATTGTTAAACAGATCGTAAACACATAAAGATGGAGAATGGTAGCGCTGTGTGGTCAGGCACTGGCGTTCTCAGCGCTGCCAAAATAAAAGTCACAACAACAAACGCGGATTACGTCACTTCAGAGTTTCTACTGGCGGACCAGGAAAACGACGCTAAGGGAACCTTTAGTTCTCGGGGAACCACCCTGGTGGCTAGTTCCTATAACCAAGTTCCTATAACTACCCTAATAAGAACTAGAGACAGAAATAATAGATTATAAAATCATAAACCATAAATTCCTCATATGTTGGAAAACAGTGGCATACAATGTAAAATATTACTGACTGGCTCATAGTGTTAACAATTCTTACTGATTCTTTCACAAGTCCTTTAAAGCGATACTCCACTTTTTTTGGGAAATAGGCTCATTGGTATCCGGACAGTTTCTGGTCTCATTGACTTCCATAGTATATTTTTTTCCTACTATGGAAGTCAATGAGACCAGAAACTGTCTGGTTACTAATATTCTTCTAAATATCAGAAAATCGGCTGAATACATTCGAAAATGGTAAAACCCATCTGTTTACCTCTGGGGGAATGGTAAAATAAGCCTAAAAAAAAAGTAGAGTATCCCTTTAAGTAATTTCAGCAAAACTTCATCTGCGTTAGCCAGCTTGATAACATATTGGTGATGAAGCAATAACCTAACATTTAAGTTTGCAAGGCATACAAATTAATATACAAGATCAATGAAGAAATATTTTCAGTGGAAACAGTGCTGTCTTTTTGCTCTCAGACACTACTCCCAAGAGGGGTCCATCCTTAACTGTTTTAATGCTTTAAACAAAACATGATTGGCCCACCTGTATTTATGTTCATGGCACCAAGTAAGAAAATTCGGTGTGTGTCTATCTGGCATCTAAACCTGAAAAAAAGACTTCATGTGAAACACAGTCGTCTTATATTGTCAGGTTACGAGATCTGAATTTTGATAGTTATCAGTGTTCCGTCATACATAAACACACTCCCTGAATTCAGTCACAGTAGTCAGTTGGCCATGCAGAACGATGGATGTTTCAAGGACCTTCAAATCCTCTTCTGGTTGAATGAAAGGCCTTTGTAACTCACTCACGTTATTCAGCCTGAGGGTGGCACTCTAATGTTGATTGACAGGCTTTTTAAGTACAATGATATCTAATTGCCTCAATGTAGTATTTATAGCCTCGGAATGATGTTTTAGAATATTTAAAGTTGTAGAGGATCTCCAGTGAGGAAGATATGCCTATTCTCAGAAAAACAACAACAGAACTATATAAAGGCTACTCATGTGAGCATGTTAACTAAAGGACTGAACTGATGCAGAAAACACATAGCTGAAGCGGACTGATATCACCTTAGTATGGAGCAAAATTTTCGAAAGGAAACGTGAAAATAAGCGGGGCAGCCTACAATCTGCCACAATGACTCTAAATTAGAGTGCACAGTTCCATTTTTCACCACAGATTTACATTACATTTAAATAGATTACAAGATAAAGAATAATGAAACGCAAAAAACAAATGTGCTGCTTACATAATCAACTAAGTGCAAAATTCATTACAACTCTTCATCACTCTCAGCAAAAAACAAAATGGCATGTCCTTCACCCTGAAAACTAAGGAAATCTAAGAATCAGAGACATTATTGCTGGGAAGACCAGCCCATAAGATTAAAAGGATATAAATAGTCTAAAATCATGGCATGCTTCCTTAATTCAAAAGATTCTGCGATTTGAACATTCGTCACCAACTCACTATTCATATTAATCTATATATAGATTAAAAGCTCTATTAATAATTTTAAAGCATTTCAGAGCAGTGCACAAACACATATAATGAGATATTTTTAGCTATATCATCCAGCCATAGTCTTTCTTGAAAAAAAAAAAAACCACACACAAAAAACAAGGAATTAAACAAGCCGTTTTTTTTTAAACTAAGCCATTTTAAGACTCCATGATTAATTAAAAGGGAGCAGATTACATCTCTTCCCGTAGAGTTTTATAATCCTCATATCACTGCACAAGATAATATAAAGCGCAGACAACACAATCCTATGAAAAGCAGGTAGCATCCAACCAGAAAATAACATCTGTCTCTCTATGCTGTGCATCCAGTCAGGTGACATTTGGGTAATATATGCAGAACATCTAGAAATATTTATATTATATCGCAAAAGGATGGCGGTATTGTAGATTACAGGAAAATCGCTTTGCCTAAGCATTACTGGCCGGCCAAGGGTTAATTTCCATTTGCAATGATTAATAATCTTCTCCAGGCTATTAATGAAATCTAATGAAGGTGTATGAGAGGCTTACTGTCAGTACAATTAGATGTCATGTTCACCACAACTGCCTCTGAGAGACCAGAAGATTGAAGGAAAGCAGTACAGCGGATTAACGACACTTGTGCCATCCTGGACACCTGGTACGATTCGGCTAGTTTTACCAATCCAAACTTATTTTCTGTAAGTATTCAAGACATCAAATCGTTAATACCTTAAAAAAGGCAGATTTTTTCGAGAATTATACATCATTCCGCCCATGTCAATATTACATGAGATTAAAAGACCAGATGTTTGCTGGATAACCGAGCCAGGCATGCTTTGAATGTCATGTTTTGCTTTTTGAATTACGAAACTTGGCTAGTCGAGCTTAAATGTGAGTATTAACATTCACAGGAGGCAGCATGCTCTTTAATCAGTTAAATGGAATGCATGCATTCAGTATTTTTCTTAAAATGTATTCTGTTGACTGAACAAAACTGAATTGAATTTCAATCAGAGACACCAAGGTCCCTCATCCAGTTAATCAGCTATTTGGAATTGCTAAACTTATGACATTAAATTTATATTTACGCAATCTCGCTCTAATTTGTCGCCATGGCAGCAAACCAATGAATCAAATTTATCAAAAATCCTACCACGTTTTTATCACCTCAATTTATGAAGACTGAATTATTAATTACACAGTAATTTTATTTTGTGTGCTTTCTTTTGTCACCGGCACAGTATACAGAGCTAAATTATAAATAAATCAGCATAATGAATGTTCTTATACATTGGCACTTTATGCAGAAAATTTACCCATGACGCACAAAAGCCCATTTCCAGCCTGCTAATATTAATGACTGTGCATTTCATGGGTAAAATAAATAAATCCTGCAATGTCATGTCAAAGCCGTTTGGTTTACATGTCACAACCAAGACAAAGAAGCTGTTCTCCTCAGCGACCCTGCTAACCAATGATAATCGGTAATGTCGTGGGATTAAGACCCTTTGAGTTTCTGCCCTGGCTGCCATAAGCTTTCTGTTATCACCGCAGAGCAGGTTCTAGAGTTGCATAACTCCTATAACCAAACAAATGCTCCAAAAGTTATATATAAAAAAAGAAAAAAGTCCAAAAAAATCTGGCAAGAACTCAAAGCTAGCCTAAGATTTGCTTCATGGACTAATTGAGCTGCAAAACACCAGCTTCATTTTAAGAGCTTTTCATAAGCAAACATTGATCAAACACAGACCCCCAGAAGCACAACATGCTATTGAAAGCCCATATACCCACCACACCCATTAGCTTTTTATTGTTTCAAACCTGTATACCTTATTTTTCTTCCATGGAACACTACAGAAACACTTTTGAAGAATATTAAAAATGGTGATGTGTAAACACAATATTTTGTCCTCTGGATGCAAATGCGATTTCTATGGAAGCTTGTTTTCACCAAGGAACAAAAACAATGTAAATGACAATTGCTGTCTTTTAAGTCAGAAATGTGAAAAAAAAGAAGAATTGCAAGATATATACTCGCCATTTATATCTTGCAATTCTGACTTCTTTTCTCGCAATTCTAAATTTATTTCTCATAATTGAAAGTTTATATCTTGCAATTCTGACTTGTTTTCTAGCAATTACAAGTTTATATCTTGCAATTCTGACTTATTGTATCAGAATTGTGAGATATAAATTTGCAATTGCGAGTTATTAAAGTCCAATTCTGAGGGGGAAAAATGACTTTCCTCAGAATTACGATTTAATATCTCACGATTCTAACTTTATAACTCACATTTGTTAGGCGTAATTCAGACGTTTTTACACCATATATTGTAGAATTGAAACACTTTATACCCAAATGTCAAAATGTCAAATTACTTGAATCAATGAACAGCATTAATAAAGCAGATTAAATTTAAAAAAAGTTACATTACATTAGTTACCTTTTAAATGGTTACATTAGTTACCCTTTAAAGTTACATTACATTAGTTACCCTTTAAATTTATGTTACAGTACAATGTTATATATATATATATATATATATAATATATATATATATATATATATATATTAATAATAACTCACTTAAATATTTATCCTTTTTTTCTATATAAACCCATGATTATTTTTCTGAATTATTTTTTTTTTCTTTTACACAATCCCAATATATATTATAATGTAAATTCTTCGAATATCGAGCAGCCCTGTTGTAGAGCTTTGGCAGTGTGAGCAAATTGTCAGTGAATAATTACTTACTATAGCTTTTTTTTTTTTACATAAACCTATTAGATGAGTTCAAAAGGACTAAAATATAGTGCAAGGATCACTTTTATGGTCGACAGTCTCGGTGTTTACAATAATTCTAAAATATTTCTAAAATTCTAAAATGTTTACTATACTACAGTATAACTCTTAAAAAATTCTCCTTTTATTCTCCACTGTTTGGAACAACATGAGAGTGAGTAAATGATGCCTTTTTGTGGTAGTGTAGTGAACTATCCTATTAAGTAATGGGGAAAACAAGACCTTCAACATGTTAACACTATTACCTACGCACATGGAGAAATGATTAAATTAACATGGGCTCGTAAAAGCAATGCAAGTGAATAGCATGACATTGCGCTGACCTTTTTCCTTAAATAACAATCTGCGTCAGATCAGGTGCTTTTGATTCAGTCCCATATTAACCCTCTGAATCTCCCTCCCTCCCTGATACTGTAAGTGACCCTGAAAATGGTGGGCAAGTTTTCCTTAGTTCGAGGTCCTTGGTTTCGTCTGACAGCATCGATTCATGCATGTGTCATTTTCACCAATAGTATATTGGTGATTCAAAGAGACATAAAAATGTCCCCGATTGTAATACCCAAGCAAAGCCAAAAGACTATTTCTATTTTTCACAACAGCATTTGGCCTCATTGAGCATATGTTGCTTGTAATGGAGCTGCGTTTAACAGTACTGGCCAGCACCCAAACTACAAAACCGAGTAACTGAGTTTAAATGGTCCTGACTGTTCAGCATTTGTGATCACAAATTTGTTCATTCCCTTCAAACCGTTTCCTCAGATCCAGCAGACAAACCACCATGCTACCATCAATCGTGCATGAAAGTAAAGAAGCTTTGAACCATTAAGCCACTGGTTTAATGTGCACGGCTCCGATTCACTCTCTCTGCCCCTGGTGCTGTGAAACAAACCGAGTCTGAGTAGCTGTGCAGTTCAGCTTCACTGCACAACAATCTATCAGATCTGCCAGTTTGAGAATGGACTAACTGCTAACACACGGATGCCAAAAAACAAGGCCAAGCCACAAGTGTGTCTGGTACCCCACTGGAAATATCACTATGGTATATAAACAAGGTCTTGCAAATTAGCACGCTATGCAAAATATAGTGGTGGAATAATGAAAATAAATGTAAAGATAGTATGCAAGTACGCTACTTCGCATTTGCTATAATGTGTTCACATGGCCTCACATCATTTTTGAATTTTGTTTAAAATTTGTTAAGAGATAAAAAAAAGTGAAATTAAGTTAAACAACGTGGTAAATATGTGGTCTAGTTCATCAAAATGGAAAAATTAGCACATTGTATTGTGAGATATGATACATTGTGCATGTATAGATGTATACTGCAATTTCGCTCAATGTAGTTCCTTTGTACACAGAAAATTTGCATACTATGCAAAGTATACTCACCATTATACAAAAAAAAAAAGAACAGATAGTATGCTAATACAATAATACATATTAGGTACATCTGGCTAAGAGTCCTCTTTTCTCTCTCTCTCTCTCTCTCTCTCTCTCTCTCTCTCTCTCTCTCTCTCTCTCTCTCTCTCTCTCTCTCTCTCTCTCTCTCTCTCTCTCTCTCTCATCTGTC